CTAGTTGGTGCCTAATCCACTTCTGTATAGTTCCTTTCAAAGCTCAGGGTTCCAGGATTATCTTCTGTATCTCTGTCAATTGGTTTTTCTTTTCTTTGTTGAAGAGGGTCTATGTCACTTGTCTGCCTATTCCTCCATCTTACTGGAAGTCCTTGTCCCATAGAGTTTTCACTGGCTGTTAGAACTTTCAGAAGTAGCTGGCCAGTAGTCTCAGGGGACAACTTAGTCAATTGGCATAACATAGTTCACAAAGATAATGTTCAAATTCTAGTTTGGTGAGTAGATTCTGGGTCTTAAAAGCTTGCAGGCAGCCATCTAAGATACAACTATTGGCTTCTACCAGTATGGAGCAAGGGAGAGTGAAGAAACTCATCCATGGGACTAATAACCCATACGAACCACAGCCTCTCCTAACTGGAGACCAGAAGAAGTAGGTGGTGCCCAGCTACCACTACTGACTGCTGTGACAATAGAAGGTCCCAGATCGATTGGGAGAAAAATGTAGAACTCAAATTCTTAAAAAAAAAAAAAAAAAGGCCAGACCTACTAGACTAATAGAGACTAGAGGAGTGTCTAAGACTATCACCCTAAGATAACCTTTGCACATGGAATGGAAGCTGTTTCTACAGGTCACCTTTTAGCCAAATAATAGATCGGCTTATAAAATAAACAGTATCACACATGAGTAATGTGCCCCCTTAAGCAATCAACTCCATGAAACTTAATGGTCAACAGTTACCCAAGAGCAAAAATGAAAAGGCAAGGAGGAGAACAGAAGCTAGATGGGTGGAAATAAAACCAACAGAATGGAAATAATGAGAATGTTGACACACTGTAAAAAGTGTAACCAATGGTACAGAACAATTTGTATAAAAATTGTTAAAGGGGAACACAATTTTCAGTGTAACCTTTCACCTAAAACATATTCAAACATTATTTTTTTAAAAAAAGTAGATAACTGGGACTTTCTTCTGAGGCAACTCTGAGCGGCTTTGAACTGCCAACCTTTAGATTAATAACCAAGCGCAAAGGGAGCCATGTATAACACCTACCGATTCTTCACTCCTGGTGTGTGCTGAGGGAAACAACTGAGGCAGTTTGGGCCAATTATTTCCTCTAAACACTCAATGCCCGTAGCAAACCCCTCTCCTAGCACAGGGGCTAACCGACGACTAGGGTCTTTAGCCTTGCCTACCTTGTTTCAGCCGTCGCTTAGCTAAATTAATCCTGCATCAAAGTCCCTGTAGCAGAACCTGATGGCAGTTCCTGTCCATGTCCCCTCTGCACTTACTATGTTCCATGCATGCTGGCCAGACTTCCTTCAGCTGGCACCTTCTTCCTATGCCCAAGAGCTTTCCCAGGCTGTTAGACTCTGCCCTGTCCCAGACCACAGGCACTGGGGAGTCACTGCTGCCGGCCAGCAGCTCTCAGACAATGACTCTGATGGGCTCATGCACATGCATGCTCTACACCATTTGCCTGAGTTCCCCAGCAGGACCACACCCCAGTTGCTCACAGTAGTAACTTGCCTGATTGTGCCATTTATTATCTTCCTTCCCTTCTCTGTCCCTTGTCCATATTCCCCTAGCAGTGTTTCTTGAGCTCACTTCCCAAATTAACTGTTGATGTTGTGAGCTGCTGGCGAGTATCTGATTCATGGTAAGCCCACGCACAATGGGATCGTATCGTTGCCATCCATAGGGTTTGCACTGGCTGACTTTCTGAAGTAGATCACCAGGCCTTTCTTCCTGGTCTTTCTTAGTCTGAAGCCTGTTCACCATCATAGCAACAAGCATTGGCCAGGAATCAAACCAGGTCTCCTGCGTGGAAGATGAGAGTCCTACCACTAAACTACTATCTACTACATTTTTATCTGCTCTCTGTAATAATAATAATAATAACCCCCCCCCCCGGATATAAGCACATTTTTATATCGGAGATGCTGATCTTTTAAAAAAAAATTGCAAGGTATACTAAGACATGTGAACTGTTTCTATTCAAATCTTTGTCTCAAGGCCTGCATCTGGAGGAACCCAAATCAAGACAATTCCTTTGTCATGGGATCCTTCTGGAATTAAAACCTATGTTTATAAGATGAAGTGAAACATGCAAATGGCTGAGAGGAGTGGCTGGTAAGCAAAGCATACCATGTGTTAAGTGTTGTGGTGGTGGTTGCACTTGTTAACCCCCTCACCCTGGTACACCTGCTGCCAGAGAGTGGACTCCCACTCATAGCGACCCTCACTGGGTTTCCAAGGCTGTAAATCTTTATGGAAGTAGACTGCCTCATCTTCCTCCGGCAGAGCAGCTGGTGGGTTTGAAACACTGACCTTCTGGTTAGCAGCTAAATGCCTTACCCACTGGGCCACCAGAGCTCCTTCACCCTTGTTTGAAAGGAAAATGTCACCTTATGGCCTTTTCAACTTCCGTTTTAGGAATGATGTCAGACTCGTTTTTTGGTGAAGTGACGAAGAAGTAGAAGGAGACTCTTGGTTTCAAATCACTCACCCGCACATCCTCCTCTCTGTCAAGAAACAAAAGAAACATCTTCCCTTGTGTCTGAGAGAACACAATCAAGAAATGAAGACTTCATCTTCTGTACCAAGAAGACTAGGAAGAGACCCAGGAGAGGGTCTGCGGGTAAGGTGGAGAGACATAGGCACTCAATGGGGGTGAGGGAGGATGCATTGGATGGATATAATTGTCCAACAAACTTAAAGGTGCCCAAAGCCCATGACATCAACTATATAAGGTATGATATCAATCAAGTTTTGGCCTATTTGTTCCGCCACTGTATTAAAACCACATTTTTATTTCTGTGATGGGAAATGTTAACATCAAAAGCACCAGAGAATCCGCCAAGGATCAGTCATTGGTGACTCAGGATTGTGATAACTAACATGGCGGCAGGGCAGTGATGGCCCCCCACCCACCGCTCCCAGCAAACCATGTCTTGTTATCCCCATGGGTGAAGGTCGCGAGTAGGATTCACTGGGCAATGCCACAAGACTGAGCAGAAAACTCGAGGCAGATTGTGTCCCCCAGAACCCTTCAATCTCATTCAGAATAAAAGCCCAAGTCCTGAGAATGGCCTTGGGGGCCCACAAGAATGTCATTCTCTTCCTCTCCTTCACCCCACAGTGCCCTGGCCACACCTCCTCCTCGCCTTCCATTAGCTCCCTCTGCTCCAGCCACACCGGTCTCCTCCTCGTTCTTTCAACAAGCGAAGGACATTCCTTCCTTAGTCTTTGCACTTGCTATTCCAACTGAAACACTTCCCTGTTCTCCGCACTGCTGGCTCTCTCTCCTCCTTCAGATCCTTGCTCAAATGTTAATAAGCTCTTTTCTGGCCATTTTAGTTAAAATTGGCACATTTACACCCACACACATGTGCACGCACACACACACACACACACACACACCAGCACTCCCTCACCTCTTCCTGTTTTATTTTTCTTTCTAGCACTTATCACCATCGAATTTGACTATATTTCACTTAGCCATTCTGTTGACTGCCACACAGGCACACACACAACATATATAGGAGACTATAAACCCAACGAAGGAAGTGAGAGTGAGTGAGAACATTTGAGAGAGAGAGAGGAGATTTAATGAGAACAATGATCCTGCAACCTACAAGTCAACTGAGTTGCAATCACCCCTAAATAGATAGGCCTAGATTCCAGAATATCAAAGAAGTTTAAAAGTTAGTAGGAGGTTGTTCTTAATTTCACTGGAAGAAATGTTTCGGCAGAATGTATCCCCAGACCCAAGAATAAGGAAGTGCTGGTTGGAGTAGTGAGAACTCAGCAAATCAACTCACCTAAAAGGAATCGTCTGTTTTTTGTCTTCTGAAAAATATACTCTCATGGCATATGCAATAGATGATCGGAACAAGTACATTTCATTGTCATTCCATTCGTACTGCAAATTCAGAAGAAAGGCACTGTTCAATGGAGATCATAGGACACACGCCAAAACATTGTGTTCTGCAACCATTAGTCTTAATTTTTTTTTTCTAATATCCTAAGGAGACTTGCTCTTCTTCTTTTTTTTTTTTTAAGCCATCACCATCGATTCCAACTCACAGGGATGGCATATGTTAGCGACTAGAGCTGTTTCTCGTAGGACTAATGCCTACTGGGTAGGTTCCAATCACCAACCTTTAGATTAACAGTCAAGTGCAAACCCCTTGTACCACCCAGGTATTTTTCATTAAGTCAGTGGTTCTGAAACTTGAACATGAATCAGCATCACCTGGTGGGCTTGTTTAAACACTGAGTACCGGGCCCCTCCCTCAGAGTTTCCCATTCAGAATTTGCATCTCTAACAAGCTTCCAAAGGAAGAGCTACCGAGTTCAGTGATGATGTTACTTGGGGATGGATGTCAGCCAAAAGAAACACGCTGAGGGCAGGTTTATAGAGGAAAGTAAAAAAAGAGTTGTGGGTTTTGCTTAAAACATCCATATATTTTAGACAAAACTATGGAGCCCTGGTGGTGCAATGGTTAAGGGCTCGGCTGCTAACCAGAAGGTCAGAGGTTTGAATCCACTAGCAGCTCTGAAGAAGAGGCCTGGACATCTGCTCCTGTAAAGATTGCATCTTATGAAACCCTATGGGGCAGCTCTATAATCAACTGGACAGCACATAGCAACCATGTACAGAGCCCTGATGGCTCAGTGGTTAAGCGCTAGACTGCTAACAAAAAGTTGGTGGTTCAAATGCACCCAGTCACCCCACAGAAGAAAGACTGGGAGATCTGCTCCTGTAAAGATGACGGCCAAGAAAATCCCCTGGGGCAGTTCCACTCTGTCACGTGGCGTAACTATGAGTCAAAAATCGACTTGATGGCGCCTAACAACGCTTTTTTTATATAGTAATTTTTTACAATAAGTTTCAAGATGTTCATATCATGAGTTCCAAAGGAATAAATCATACTTTGAGAACAGCAAGGTAATCTATTGATTCCTGTTTTCCATCGCAAAACAAATGGCTCCTGTGTTTGCCTTGTCTAGGAGAGGCTTGCTCCGAAAAGAAAAAAAAAAAAAAAAAGTATTCCCTCTTTCCTCCAGTAGCTGGCAGTAGAAATCAATGAATGGCACAAAATTGCAGTTTCCCCTTTGCCTTTTAGGAAAAAAAAAAAAAAACCCGACTACAAGATTTCACAGAATTATTAACATTCATTTCAGCTTGGTTTCACCCAGGTTTGGGAGAAAAACATCGCTTTAATAGTACTACTAAGATTCTGGTTACTAGTTCCATATTTAAAAAAAAATCTTAAAGGCTGAATTGGCAAAAAATAATGCCAAAGATCCAATCAGACCTCACCATGAAATGGCCTGATTTGAGCAGATATTCCGGTCCGCTATGTAGAAGGGTGATTGAAGGATGGTCTTGGTCTCATCTAAGGTCCCTGGGGGGTGTGAACGGTTTGCTCTTGGCTACTAGCCGGAAGTTTGAATCTACTCAGTGGTGTGGAAGAAGGGCATGGCTATCTACTCCCACAGTCATTGATTTGCTGTGAATCACGTGGGGTCACCATGAGTCAGAACTGACTTGACAGCAGTGGATGAATAGGCCTCAGAAGGTGACACTATCAACCCTCTGAATTTTACCAACCCCCTTGCGCATGGGAAGAGAACATAGGAACAAATGTCAAGAAAAAAACACAATTAAAAATGATGCCAGTCTGCTGGTAGTCATTGAAATTTACTAGGCCAAGGAAGAGTGAATAAAAATATGACAGCAAGAGGAATAATGCCATCGAGATTCAATGATTGGTAAGCAGTGGGCACTGAAAAGTTCAGAATTTGGGAAGCAGTGCACTTCTGTTTTTATTATTTCTTTCTTAAATGTTTGCTTTTGACTCCTACTATATTATTTATGGGAGTTCTGGTGGCATAGTGCCTAACGCATTTGACTGCTAACCGGCAGGCTGGAGGTTCAAACCCACCCACCAGCCACTCCACGGAAGGAAGATGGGACAATCTACTTTCATGGTGATACCGCCTCGGAAACCCAAGGAGGGGTCGCTATGAGTTGGACCCGACTTGACAGCAGTGAGTTTGGTTTGGTTTGGTATCTATGAAAAATAGACTATTAAGCCTCGGACAATAATTAACTTCACAGGCAAAGTAAAGGTGACAGAAATACAATTCTTGAATGTAGCCTATGCAGACAACAACTTTCTGTAGTGCACTGGACTGTTTTACCCAGTAGCCCCTGGGTGTCTTCCTACCCTGCAAAGCCTATTGATACCACACTGTGATGCAGTGAATTACTTGGTATGGCTTTTCTAGCCATGGTCTTTGTGACTCCCACCATATTACTGCAGGGCAGGGGACCATGCAAATAAGTTGCAATGTTGGAATTGGTTAATTTTGTCACTCTGCTAGGCTCTGGTGGTGTAGTGCCTAAGGCATTCGACTGATAACCAGAATGCTGGCGGTTCAAACCCACCGGCCACTCCTAGGTGGCCCCGGAAACCCAAAGTGGGGTTGCTATGAGTCAAATCCGACTTGACAGCAGCGAGTTTGGGTTTTTTTGGAGGCTTAAAAGGAGCCCTCCTAGAGGCAGAAGGGAGGGATCTCATTGCCATCAAGAGAATAGCCGGAGGACACATCAAGAGTGTGTTCTCAAGATCCCTGCAATGGACCTCATTGGCATAGACGCCCTGGCAGA